TGTAAGAAGAGAATTACATGATTAGTTTCTCTCTCATTTCTGATGATTTCAATGAGATCGCAGGAGCATCTCGGATTGCACTTGCAAAGAGGAATTGGCCTTAGATTGTTCATCTGCTCCCATAACGTTATGCTTTTTGTGTAGTATTCATTGATGGAGAGAGCTCCCTGTTTTAGGCTATGGATCTCACTTTGTAAGCTTGAGATACGCTGTGCATCTCTTTGAGAGAAAAGTCTTCTCAGGTCCTCCCAGATGTCTCCGACATTATCGAAATGCATCACACTTTGCACTATGGATGGGTGCAACGACTTGAAGATCCACGAGCAGATCATCAAGTTGCATCTCCTCTACGCAACATAATGTCGTTGCTCTCTGCTCGGCGGAGTAGTACTTCCATCAACTAGAGTCCATTTGTTCTTTACTTCCAACGCACTCTACATAGACACACTCCAAGTGCCGTAGTTTGAGCTGTCGATTAACGGTAGAGTCACAAGGATCGGCGATAGACTATCATTGGTGTAACACCCCGTGTTACGGCCTTCAATCCCGGATTAATTATTTAATTAATTCCGTTAATAATAATTAAAAAGGATTTAATTTGGCGAGGGTTCCCTTTAATTAATTAATGTGGTCCACCATGGATCATGGACCCTTGCCTAAACTAGAGTCTTAAGCCTATTAGGAATAAAAAGAGTAAACCTTTTACTAATCAGATTCTAATTAGGAGTCATAGACCTAATTATCTATTAGGAATGTAGAAAGTAGGCCTTTACTATTCAGATTATGATTAGGATTCCTGATGCTATAAATAGGGGATTAGAAAGTATTAGAACCCTTACCACCATAGTTATATTACACAAAAGTATTCCCAAGAGGTTCCCCCACCACCAAGCCTAGGGAGATCAATCGGATGGAAATTTTAGGGAAGAACCTTAGGCCAAGGGAGGATTAATTAAGGCTAAGAGGTAACCCATGTCTCAACAAAACCTATTTTCCTTGCTATACTATTCTTCTTTGGCTCCTTCTATATGCTTGTGTCTTGATGAAATCTTCTATGATAATTATGATATGATCTTGATGATTGATGAGGTGATTTTATGTGTGATCTTGATAATCTTGATGATGATAAGAGGATCTTGATGATTGTGTGATATTCTTGATAAATCTTGATGTTTCTTGATATTAAAGATGAACTATGATCTTGATGATTTAAATATGATTAGAGCCCTAGGTTGAATCGTGAATTTCGTATTGGGATATTCTTGGTATATTTGGGGTGGAAATTTCACATGTTCGGGTGTTGATTCTGTTTACAATTCATGATAGGATGTGTTCTATGTGATTCTTGCTTTTGATCCATTAATTGTCTATGTGGTGTCGTCATTTGCGTTTAAAAGTGTCTAAGCATGGTTTCAGGTTCCACGGAGGATCCCGGGACTTATATTTTGGAATAAGAATCAGTGGGGGATAGGTGGGGTAGGGGGACCCGCCACCTACCTGCTGCCTGAAGTACACCGCCGGCAGCGGGCAGACGGCGGGCAGACGACTGCCCGCCGGGCACCCGCTGCCCGGAGGTTCATCGCCGGCGGGTGGTCCTCCACCCGCCGGCTACCCGCTGGAATTTTCCCACTTTGGGACTTCGGCTTCCCCGTTTGATGTTCCCCAACCCCCGTGGTGTCCCAACGGACTCCGTTTGTCATGCATGAGTCTAGTTTGATGTTTCGGGTACCTTTCGTAGGAGAAAAGATTTTCGTGTATTGCATGCTAGTTGAATCGGTAACCCGTTGGTCTATGAGGAAGATGCATGAACCCCTTAGGACTGTTCTTAGTATGTGGATAATCACACATAAGTTTTACTTATACGTTTTCCCCTTTCCCAATGTGTTAATGTGAGTTGCATGTGTTTACTATGTGTTATGTGTGCATGATACCCCAATTTGGTTGCGATCAAATTGGTTATACATGAGCTGCATGCAGTTCATTATCTTGGCTGCGGTCAAACTAGTTACTCATGAGCTGCGGTTCATTCTCCTAGCTGCGGTCAGTGACTCACTTCTAGGGCTGCGGTCCACATGGGCCTCGTGTGCTATGGTCCATCGATCGGACGCGTCAGGCGGTGTGTAGGGCCACTAGCCCGAGGAAGGCCATAGTCCACCGAATGAGTTGTCAGGCGGTGTGTAGGGCTATGGTCGGCTGCAATCCACCGAGTGTATGAGCCAGCGGTGTGTAGGGTCGTAGTCCCCAAAGATCATTGCCCACCGAATGAGTCCCTCAGGCGGTGTGTAGGGCTTTGATAAGCTACGACCCACCGACTGAGCTCGTCAAGCGATGTGTAGGTCGCAGTCCCCAAAAGAGGATCACAGTTCACCGACTGAACGCGTCAGCGGTGTGTAGGGCTGTGATCCGCCGTTGAAACTATCGACGGTCTATACAATTGGCCGCGGTCAATTCCTTTATGCTGCGGTATGAGGTAGGGTGTTGCGGGGCCGTGTTAGCGCTATATGCACTAACCCTCATGTTTGGGGCATGCGATTGGTCCCGTGGCGCCACCAAAGTGTGCTTGTGTAACAAGGATGTTGATTGAATGATGATGTGAATGATTTGAAAGTGAACTGTGACCTTAGATACGTGTTTTTATAATATTGTCTCTATATAATTGATTATCGTTGTTTAATGTGTTTGTCCCTATCTGTCGAGTCTAATCCTGGTTTTAAAAGCTAGAGTCTCTTAAGTATATATCTTCCTGCTTCAAAATGGTTTTCCTATATCTATATATATATATACCTATATTGTATTTCAACGCGTTGGAGTGGGTTACCAGCATCATTCGCTGAACAAATATATTTGGCTTTCAGGCACAGATGATTAGCTTCCGGAGCGCGCTAGAAGAACTTGGATTAGATAGATAGTTTTTCCTTTCGTGCCTGCGTGCCATGATGATGTATTGGGGATATTTAGTTAGTTGAGCCTGTGCATCTGAGTTCTCCAGCTCAGATGTGGCATAGCACCCCGCACACTTATGTTTAGTGATGCTCTATTTTGGGATTTAATGAGAAATTACCTTTATTATATAAGTTTTAAAAGTTTCAAAAATCTGGGGTGTTACAATTGGCGTTTAGGAAGAGATGATCCTCTAAATCACCGGTATTGAAGTTCCTTTGAGTCTGAGATGCTCTATTCCCCTGCGGAATGTTCTCAGGAGCTGGAGTTTGGTTGACCGTCGTAGCAATGTGACTAGTGGCGCTGATGCCGGAGACGACATTGGCGTAATTGCACCGGAGCTCTGATTCCATGTTAACTGGCTTCACATGTTCGACGAGAGAGAAGGAGAGTGAAAAGAGGAAGATATTATTCTGAACCAACTTGCCAAGTCCACAATTACAGATGATATATATATAGAGATGAATACAGAGATGGTAGTTATAACTACCCAAGGAAGAGGAAAAGACATGTAAGCCCTTTGACTATTTTACATTGCATGATTATCATCTAATAAACTCTGAAACAATGTATTATATCAATCATTATTTTTTACACATAATACAATTATACATTTTCAACTAAATATTTATTTATAGATTAAATTTTGCGCTATCACCAAGATTCGAATCTCAAACTAAGAATCTTGGATGCCACCGGATACACTCTTCATTCCAAATTGTAAAATTGTAACCAAAACAATTTGAAACGACTGATATGCATATTGATAATATATAACTATAAGATTGAATAGTCGAAACGTTGCAAACATAGCATGCATGGATTAAATTCCTATTGATTTCTTATATTAAATGGGTGGCGAATGTTATATTCATAAAAAAAAAGTGTAAAATTGTAATATATATTGAGCTAATATTGGGTCTAACAATGTTTATGAAATTAATATAGACGTTGCATTCAGTAGTGTTGAAACTGGCGTTGTGACACAATTAATTTATAACGCAGTTTGGGCAAACAACCGTAAACTGCGAGGCACTTCTCAAATTGAGAATTTGCCTAAATCCACTAAAAGCTTGATATTTAAAGTACACTTGGTTTAGGGAACGGGGATTACACAATATGATATCCTATCAAACTATTGTGACCTAAACACTTGTACTATTTTTCAAGGGAGTTTGGGTATCTCTTCTCAATGACTCTCGTGCTCACAGTTAGGTGTTGAAAGCGTGAGGTCTTGTGATTGAGAGTGGCTTCTTTTATAGGATCAATATAGCCTTAGTTTGAGTATGAATAGATTATTAATCCTAATCATATTTGGATTATGATATCTTCTATGATTGGGACATGAGTTTTGCCACTAATGTTTTGACAATTCATTTTAGAGTCAACACTCTCCCCCTTTGTCAAACTTTTGCAAAAATCTTGATCCTTAGAGAAACTTGTTTCTTGTCATGTCTCCCCCTGAGTTTGATCTCAGTCTTGATGTGTCTTCTTCTTGTTTTAATTTTTTGTTGTGACTATTACAACACAGTGTGATCAGTTTTAATCAGAAACCAGTGGGAAAAAATCAAAATAGTCTCAACAAGGATAGTCAGGAACTTTCTGTTAGTTGTTTGTCTCTAATGTTTTTGATCAGCAAAAAGAGAACAGTCGCAAAGACTATTCAACCCAGATAGATTATTGTCCAATAGTTCTCAAGAATAGATCAGCTCAGCTCCACTGTTTTTGATCATTAAAAATAGTCACAAGGATTGTCCCAACCAGTTATCCACAAATCAGTTATTCAAAGAAAAAAAAAAAAACAAACTCCAGTCCAGATAGATCATCACTGTTATCACTAACCAACAGTTATCAAAAAAGGAACTGAACAAAACTTCAGTCTAGATAGATCATCCAAAATTCCAGTGAACAAATTCCAGTCCAGATCCAAAATTCCAGTGAACAAACTCCAGTCCAGATATCCAGTGAGCAAACTCTAGTCCAGATCCAAAATTCCAGTGAACAAACTCCAGTCTAGATAGATATCATCACTCCCCCTTTTTTGCTAAAGTTTGTGAATGCTAGGTAGATGTTTCACCATGTTCTGCCTGACCATCTTCTTCTTCATTATCTTCTTCTTCATTCTCTTCTTCATCGTTTTCCTGATCTCCTTCTTCATTTTCAGTCTTTTCTTCTTCATCATCATCACTGTTTTCTTCATTTCTTTCAGTTTTTAGAGCTTTCAACCATTGTAGAACTTCAACTTTTTCTTCTTTGATTTCCATGTGTTTTCGTAACAATTGTTTTTCTGCGTCATCCAATTCTTTTGACCTTTTCTCAAAGTACTTGATCAAGGTTTGTTGGTCAGTTGGATTATCAGTTGGAAAAGAGGCTTTGAGATAATTTTGATGACTCCCCTTCTTCAGTTTTTTGGTTGTGTTTATGGTCTTGACTTGTGTTTTTGGTCCATGTGTCTTCAGCCCTTGCTTGGATAGAATAGCGTGGATCAGATTTGGAAAAAAGAGCGAAGCCTTTGACTCACTACTTTCTGCCAAGTTTGTGATCTGTGAATACACAATATTTCCAATGTTGACCTGGATTCCCTTTCCTATTTTGTACAGTAGCTCTGCCAAACTCCTTTTGACTGTTGTTTCGTGTAGAGAGGGCATCCAATTCACAAGAGCAATTGTAGTATCGCATACTTGCTTGTTAGCGAGGCAGCTTTGATTTTGTTTTTATCAAAATTCACGTTCCCAGCTGTAAGTTCTTGGATGACCTATTCATTCTCTAGTTGAATATTCTGTTCTTCACTGGGTGTTCCTAGTTGAGCATTGATGATTTCTGGAGTGAAATCATAAAATTCTCCCCTTAGATATGCCTTTTCATACATAGGGTTGTTGGGAGATGATGTGCCTTTGGTGAGATTGCAGTTGAATTCTTTCACAACCTGTTCTTCATAAGGGTCAATATTGATGACTGATCCTAAGAGGTTGGTTTTTGTTAACACCTCAGTGATTTGTTCACAATTTTCCAGCCTGTCTAGTATTAAAAACTTTTGACTTATGACCTTTTTATCCATGATTTTGTTCCATTCTTTGGCATTTTCTTTTGTCAAGAATCTTGGACTATAAGGCTTTGGTAGTTTTGACAGGTCAGCATCACTAACTACCTTTTGTTTCCCTTTATCTTTAGTAGGTAATTTCTTTTTCTCAGTATCTCTAAGGACTTTCTGTTTTCCTTTTTCCTTTGCAGTCAATTTCCTTTTCTTCTTTTCTGAGACTTCTTCACTATATTCTGTTTCCTCTCTTAAATCATCATGAGTCCAATCTTGTTCTTCTTCTATAATTTTTTCTTTTTGCTTCTTTGTTTTACTCTGTCTTGGGGGTGGGGGGGGGGGGGTATGTTAGGAGTTCTTCGGGGAGGTCTAGCAGAAATTGAAAAGTCATTGGGCCGTTTTGCTCTGGGGTCTGCCCCTTCGTAGGGGTTAGCCCTCTTCCGTTTTCTCCGTTCTTTGTCGGACAGAGTGGGTGGAGGTGAGGGGTCTACAGCGTGTTGTTCGCCTTCTTCTTGCGTAAAATTTGCATTTTCCCTCGATTCATCCTCAATGGATGGAGAAATCGTAAGATCTCCATGTAAATCAACTGTAAAATTACCTGGATTAGGGTTTTGACAATCTTGAATTTCTTCGAATGGAACTTGCGAGATGGGAACCGGGTCCATGATGATGGTGGTTGTGTCCTCTTCTTCGATGCATACCGGGTTTGATGGAACTCCGGTGCCGGCGTGCTGTGAGGTGGTTCCTCTCCGAGGTAATTTTCCTTGCCTTTGATTTCTCGTTCTCACCATTGTTGCTTTGTCGTTGGGTGTTGAGGATGATCGTGGAAGCGATTGTGGGTGAGAGATTGCAATCGGGTGTGCCCGATATGTTATTAGATTTGGGGATTTCTAGAAGTGGACTGGGTTCTGGGCTTTTCAGAGGTGGACCGGGTATGGGCCTTTTGAAGGAGGATCAATGCGATTTTCTTAAAGATGACGGTATGGATTATGCTTAAAAAATATAGTAGGTTTTTTTTTTATTATTATTATTTTTTTATTTTAATAAAATGACCCATGTATTTGTTCATAAAATACACCGTCCCAATTTGGCTCTTAGTTTTGCATATCTATTTCCATCAAGTGCCTTTGTTAGTATATCTGCAAGTTGATTTTCTGTGTTGATATGTGTGAGATTGATAATTTTGTTTCGACTAACTCTCTTATAAAATGACGTCTGATGTCGATGTGTTTTGTTCTGGAGTGTTGTACTGGGTTTTTGGAGATGTCTATTGCACTTTTGTTATCACAGTGTATGGTCATAGTTGTCTGATGTATTCCATAATCTTCTAGCATCTGTTTCATCCAAAGTAGTTGTGTGCAACAGCTTCCGGCTGCAATGTATTCTGCCTCTGCTGTTGATAATGATATAAAGCTTTGTTTTTTGCTTATCCAAGATACGAGATTTGTTCCTAGAAAGAAACAACCTCCTGAGGTGCTTTTTCTGTCATCTACGTTTCCTGCCCAATCGGCATCACAATAGGCTGATAAGTGATGATTGGTGTCGAAGGAATACCAAAACCTAATTCGGTGGTTCCTTTAACATATTTAATGACTCCTTTTACTGCTTTTAAATGTTGTTCAGTAGGATTTGCTTGATATCGTGCGCATATTCCTACTCCAAAGCTTAAATCTGGTCTACTAGCAGTTAGATATAGTAGTCCTCCTATCATACTTCGATATAAAGTTTGCTCAACTTTTTTTCCTTCTATATCTTTTGAGATTTTTTCTGTTGTTGGAACTGGTGTTCTGACAACTTTGCTTTCTTCTAGTCCGAATCTCTTAACTAGGTTTTTTGCATATTTGCTTTGTGATATAAAGATCCCACTGTCTTGTTGTTTGATTTGTAGACCTAGAAAGTATGTTAGTTCTCCAACCATGCTCATCTCAAATTCTCCTTCCATGTTAGTGATGAATTGGTTTTTGTGGTCCTCAAGTGTTGAGCCAAATACTATGTCATCAACATAGATTTGGGCAATGACTATGCCTTGACCATAGTGTTTGACGAATAGAGTTTTGTCCACGCTACCTCTTTTGTAGCCCTTTTTGACTAGGAATTCAGTGAGAGTTCGTACCAAGCCCGTGGTGCTTGTTTTAGTCCATATAGTGCTTTGTTGAGTTTAAAAACACTTTGTGGAAAATGGGGGTTTTCAAACCCTTTTGGTTGAGCAACATAGACTTCTTCTTTTAGATATCCATTTAAGAATGCCGTTTTCACGTCCATTTGGTAGAGTTTTATCTTGAGTATGCAGGCTACTGCTATGAGAAGCCTAATTGATTCTATTCTGGCTACTGGGGCAAATGTTTCCTCAAAATCTGTTCCTTCAACTTGGGTGTATCCTTGTGCTACTAGTCGGGCTTTGTTTCGTATAATGTTCCCTTGTTCGTCTGTTTTATTTTTGTAGATCCATTTTGTCCCTATGATATTGGCATTCTCTGGTTTGGTGACTAACTGCCAGACGTTGTTTCTTTCAAATTTTTGTAACTCCTCATGCATGGCTCCCACCCAAAATTCATCTTTTAAGGCTTCCGTGATGTTTTTGGGTTCAATTTTTGAGGTGTAGCAGTAGTCATAGTCTCCTTCTTCCATTTTCTGATAGTCTCGTTTCTTTCCTCTTCTTATTCCTTCATTTAGTCCTCCTATAATGTTTTCTATTGGATGATTTTTCTGTACCCTGGTCTCATTAGTGAGGATTTCTTCTTTTTCTCCAGGGTTATCGGCTTCTTCTTTCTCTGTTGAGTCTGTTTTAGATTTCTGATTTTGCGATGTTGGAACTGTTGTTTCAACAACAGTTACCTCTTCACCATTGGTAGAGGGATCTTCTGTTGTTGTGTCATTGACCACAACATTGATAGATTCCATTACTGTGTCTGTCCTAAGGTTAAATACTCGATATGCCCTACTGTTTGAGGAGTATCCTAGGAAAATCCCTTCATCTCCTTTAATGTCAAATTTTCCCAATGGTTCTCTATCTTTTAGAATATAGCATTTACTTCCAAACACATGTGTGTGTTTTAGATTTGGTGTTTTTTCTTTCCAGATTTGATATGGTGTCATGTTGGTTTCTTTTCGTATGAACACTCGATTTATCAAGTAGCATGTTGTATTAGCTGCTTCTGCCCAGAATTTTGATGGAAGTCTTTTGTGATTTAGGAGAACCCTTGCCATTTCTTGGATAGTTCGATTTTTCCGTTCGACTACTCCATTTTGTTGGGGTGTTTTTGGTGCGGAGAACTCATGATGGATCCCATTTTCTGCGCAGTATTCCTTGAATTTTGAGTTCTCGAACTCCCTTCCATGATCACTTCTTAGACGAATGATTTTTCCTATTCTTCCGTCTTTTTCATTCTAAATTTTGATAATGAGAGTTTTGAATATTGTGAATGCTTCAGATTTTTCTCTAAGAAAATTCACCCATGTGAATCGTGAAAAGTCATCGACTGTTACATAGACATATCTCTTCCCTCCTATGCTTTCTGTTTGGGTTGGCCCAAATAGGTCCATGTGGAGTAGTTCTAAGATTCTAGAAGTGTGTATTCCTGAGCTTCTTTTGTGGGCTGTTCGTGTTATTTTATTTTCAAGACATGCATCACATTTTTTGTTTTCGTCTATGTCGAGTATTGGAACTCCTCGATAGACTCCTTTCTTTAAACCCTTTTTCATGTCATGAAAGTTTATGTGGCCCATCCGTTGGTGCCATAATTGTGTTTGATTGACGGTTGTCTGTAGGCAAGTTAGATCACCGTCCCATGTGTAGCATTTATTTGTGGATTTTCTTCCGATCATAACACATTCACGATTTTGATTGAGAACGTTGCAACTATTTTTTGAAAATTCCACTTTAAGTTCATCTTCACATAGTTGACTTATACTGATCAAGTTTGCTTTTAATCCTTGCACTAGGAATACTTTTGACAGTTTTGGTAGCCCATGTACGTTCAAAGTTCCTCTTGCAACAATTCTTCCTTTTCCTCCGTCTCCAAAGGTAACATATCCTTCCTTTTCATATTGTATGTTCGCTAAATTTTCTGGATTTCCAGTCATATGCCTTGAGCATCCGCTGTCAAAATACCATATATCTTGCTCTTTGTTTGTTTTGGAGGTATATGCAACATTTTGGTCTTCTCTTACCCAGATTTTCTTATTATTATTTATGTTCTGTGTTGGCCACAGTCTGTTATTTTGTCTGTAGTAAAGGTCGTTCTGTCTCTTGTAGCAGTGTGCTTTGATGTGTCCTAGTTTGTGGCAATAGTAGCACCTTATTCTTCTTCGGTGTCGGAAGTGCTGTTGCGACACTTCCTGTATCTCGGTTTGGTGATTCTCACTGGTGTCTGTGCTTGGAGTCCTGGGTCTTTCGATGAGCTCCTTGATTTTTTGTAGTAGTTTAGCTTCTTTGTTTTTGAAGTCTAACAATTCTTTTTGAGCTTCTTCGTATTGTTTCTCAATTCGTTCCTTTTCATTTGTTAAATAATGATTATCTTCCATGAGTTCCAAATTTTTCTTGATGATCTGCTCCCACTTCGCATTTAGTTGAGTGTATGCCTCTAGTAACTCTTGCATGTCATCACTATTGTT